TATATATATATAATATATATACAAGACTTTGAAGTAGGAAAAACATGACTTGGATAAGATTAAATTTTTCAAGATCTATAGATTGGGATTATTCGTATGATCTGCTCTCAAGTTGCAGACAATAGAAATGAGCTACTGATTATTTCAAAATTCTTATCAAAACATCTCAAGGATATCCAGAACATTTGGGTACAGATCATTATTTTTCTGCTATAATCAGGATACATTCATGATATTGTCACTCATTGATTCCAGGAGTCCAATGAAAGTTTATTCAAGCATGGAGTAACCCTTTTTTTGTCTACCTATGCCTTGATTAAATATTGCTGTGGAAAAAGGTACAGGGCGTTGAAGTTGATTTTTTTTTTCGTTTTTTGCTAAAAATTTCATTGTTTATTCATCAAATGTTATCAAAATCGGTACAGGGGCATGATTTTATACGAAAAATAATATTTCATGTATCATTTCACATTGAGTCACAGGGGGCGCAACGTGAATGATTCCTGATGATGAAATCGACTGGTAACTTTCTCTGACGAAACTTTTCAGTGATTTCGATTGAATAATATGAACATCTTTCTTACGTTATATCAGTATTTTTTTTTCGATGTATGATAAATTGACATTCATCATATAATATACAGGGTGGGTCACGGTGGATGGCCTATTACAAGTATCTGGAGAACGAAAAGACAGAACATTCTAAAAATCGAGATGCTTCGATAATTGAACATTCTCTATTCGTCCAAAAAGTTTTCATCGACATTCTATCAGAAACAACAAGCAACTTCGTTATTTCAAATGAAGCACCTTGTATTCAATTCCATTTTTAGATTCTTCCCAAAGAGCTGATTCAATCGATGCATCACACTTGGGGTCTAGCAGGAATGATTTCAGAGATATAGGGTGTTCAAAATCGAGATTTTTCAATTTTGGGATTTTTTTGTGTCAAAACTATTCATTATCGATCGTGATGGTTTGCATGTGTCTATCTCAATTTTCGATTCAATATCTACTGACATTTAATCGAAACGGATACAGGGTGATCAAAATTCTTAAGCTTGAAGCACCCTGTATTTTTTTCAATGAAATTTCAGTAGATAGTGAATCGAGAGTTGAGATAGAAACATGTGAGCCGTTTTGATCAATAATGAATAGTTTCGACACAAAAAATCCTAAAATTGAAAAATCTCGATTTTGAACACCCTATATCTCTGTAATCATTTCTGCTTGACCCCAAGTGTGATGTATTGATGAAATCAGCTCCTCAGGAAGAATCTAAAACTGCAAAAAATACATGGAGTTCCATTTGAAATAAAAAAGTTGCTAGTTGTTTCTTATAGAAGTGGCTACACTGTATCGATGGAAACATTTTATACGAATAGAGAATGTTCAATTATCAAAGCATCCCAATTTTCAGAATGTTATGTCTTTTCGTTCTCCAGATATTTCTAATAGGCCCTCCACCGTGACCCAGCCTATATATATCCATTTTTTGTGTTCATAAATATATCTGAGAATGTTAATTCCTTCTCAATATCAGTACTCTTGTTTGAACATGAAGAACGCAATTGAACAAACCAGAATCTCGGGAGGGGAGTTCAAATATCATTTCATTCATGAAGAGTGTGCTTTGGACTGAATAAAGAAATGCGGGATATGATATGTGTGTACGCATACAAGATCTTTTTTGCGGTCGCTCTGAAGCCAGAAGGTATGAATTGTTATATCCAGGCAGAAGGCAACCAAATCACAAAACTTTCTCAAATCTATTCAATCGTTCTGGTGAAACCAAAAAATTTCACAGTAAGAATCAAGGTGATGGTCCGAAACATATCAAACCTAATCAAGAAGATGAAAGTTTGGTTCGAATAGATGGAAATCCTAGGGTAAGTTCACGTCATCTGTCAGCAGCAACAGGAGTTAGTCAGTCGTCTATTATCAGAAATCTTAAAAGAGAAGAGTTCCACCCTTATCACTTCCCTCCTGTTCAGAATTTGCTTCCAAGAGATCTCCCACGTAGGTTACAGTCCTGCCAACGCATTCTCAACAAGCATGATGATGACCGAACTCTCATTGAGAATATAATGTTCTCCGATGAAGCGACTTCTACAAGACGAGGGGTATTTGATAAGCGTAACAACCATTATTGGAGAGAACAAAATCCGCATGCTTTGATAGAATGACATTTTCAGCATTAGTTCAAATTGAATATTTGATTTGGCATTATAGACGAACAACTACTAGGGCCATATGTTCTGCCTCCAAATTTGAATTGAGATTCTCATTCATTTTAATCGCAGAATACTTTCAGTGATAATTTGGATAATCTGTCACTAGCTGGAAGAAGGAAAATGTGGCTTATGCAGGATGGAGCTTCACCTCTTTTTCCATTAGTTGTTAGAAATCATCTAAGTGAGATATTTCTCCAACGATGGATTGGCAAAGGAAGTGATTTCGAATGCCACCATGAAGACCTGACTATAACCCGCTTGATTTTCATGTTTGGGGACATATGTCCTTAGTCCATGCCGATGGAATCAACTCAAGAGACGAACTCTGGAGGAGAATACCAAATGCGGCTAACTATATATGAGGGGACAGAATGATATTTTTCCTTGAAGTCCGGAATATCTTTATCAGAAGAATTTGAAAATGCAAAGCAGTCGGAGGAGGCCACGTAAAACATTTTATTTGAGTTTGCTCTCTCTATGTTGTTCCCAATTGTACTTTATCGTTGAAATAAAAACCTTATACGTTACAAGTTTTTTCATTGTTCGTTACTCTGATCTGTTCAATTGCGTTTTTCTCGAGAACTGATGAATACATCATGATCAAACAAGAGTTCTCAACGTAGAATCATACATGAAATATTATTTCCTGTATAAAATTATGCCCCTGTGCCGATATCGATAACTATTGATGAATATATACAGTGGAATTATTAGCAGCCCTAATAACACAACTCGATCCGATGGACGTCCTATATGGACATCCTTTTCTGGACATCTCTTACATCCACAGGACATCCAGTTTGTGTATACTGAATGACGTATGGACATCCATAGGATATCGTGTTTCCAACTTTTCAGCTATCCATATGGTATCCGTCCTGGACACCTATATGGTATCCGTCAAGGACATCCATATGGTATCTGTCTTGGAAATCCATATGGTATCTGTCAATGAATAAAATCTATGTTTCTGGTTGTTATATCCATTTCAAATGTGAATATATTCAAGCAAACACTAGGTAGATACTATAATATTTTATTTCAGATCGGTGTGAAATGTTGTTTTGGCTCTTCACTTCAAGTGATCTATTTATTTTTCGACCGAAATGGCATAACGATAAAACTCAAGCGAGTGTCGACGCCATTCACACACACATATTAAGGAACAGATTATTTCAATAATGTCACTCAATACAAGTTCGAACATGATAAAATCTTCAAAACGCTATACATACATGTATCTGGAAATGATGGGATTATTAGTCTTAGTAGCCTCAGACAATGCATCAACGTCAACATCAATAACAATGGCGGACGGCATCACTACTCTGACACGGCTGACCCTGTCGGCCTGTGCTCACCGCTGAGGAGCCGAACGACGTCGATGATACCCGAGATGGTTATGTTAAGTAACATTATCAGAAGGGGCATTTAATAATAATAAAGGTCTTTATTCATCACGATTCAACAAATATTAATGAATAATATGAAAGATAGGGCGAGGTTCCATTCATTCTATGAGGCTTTTTGAAGCAGAACTAGTCTTATCCACTTTTGGTGAAAAATGAGTTGGATATTGTATATTGTCATTCTCCTTGGTCCCCACAGACCTGTAGTAGCGATATGTGGCAAAACTTTCGTTATTCCGCACAGATTGAATGATGGACTCATCCAACGCGGCCAATAGGAGATGATGAGATTGAATCACGTGATTGGACTATGGGAATCTTGTCACTGTTATCGATTCGTTTTGTTTCTTGCTGTTCACTCAAACTTCGTTCTTCAGGAAAAATACGTTTATCAGTTGATATTTTTCAGTAGTTAGTTCACATTCAGGAATACCAGCCGAACAAGGAGAAGGTAGAAAGCGAATTGCAGGATGCAGATGAGTCCAATTGAACCTGAATCTGATGAAGGAGTAGGCTTGAGAATTTGATTATAACAGATTTTTTGTGATTTTGTCTCCTCGTTTTCATAAAATAAAATGAAATGAAAATATAGGAATCATCTCTATATAAGTGTAGTGAGGACAAACCAGCTGGTTTGCCCCGAAATGTCACTGCAATTATCATTTTTCCTCTGAGAAAATGTGCATACGAAAAATGTTGAGCAATATTATTTAATGTAGTCCCACCCCGTATTATACACTACTGATTGAAATTTTGAAATGATGTCATTTTCACTGCATTTGGCATGGAAATTTTATTTCTTGTAAATTCCATCTTTTCATTACATGGAGTTCCCGAAATACTCAAGAAATAACATCTTCTGGAGCCCCTTTCCAGGGGGCCGTAGCTCCCCTAGGAGACATTTCTCGACACATGTTCATTTGGAGTTTTCTTTTTATTTTTGGTAGTGAAAGTCGCTGGTGAAGTTTAGCAGGCTTATTTCGGGAGACCCTGTATAATACCCTGAGCAAATCACGAGTGAAGTAACTCCATATCCGTTCAAATCACAGTGGTAAACTGCTCATTGCAGTATAGGATATCATGAGACGAACAGCAATTTGCTCTCTATGAAACGATGAACGAACTTACCAAGAATTGAACCGTATACACTACCCCTGGGGTATATCATACTCCACCACCCAAACGGAGGGTTTGAAGATTGATATACTATACATGCTATCAGTAACAAACTCCCTTCAGTCTGGATCTCTATAGTCAGCTGAAGAAGAGAAGTATGTCAGGTGATGAAACATTCAAACAACACATTCTATCTCTCCAAAACTATTTATTAGAATTTATTAGAACATAGAATATTCATTTAATCCAACCTTATCTCTTCTGGCCTCCATTCTGAGTGACTAATCAGCCAGTTGAGATAAGACGAGACTCTGGTGAAAACAGATGGAGCGGACATGCAGTATAAAGGTCCGTAGGACACAATACCATGTTGAACATTACCGATGACCAGTGGGCCACCAGAATCACCACTGCAAGACGAGCGACCGCCAGCGCTTGAGAGACAAACTTCAGTAGGTTGCACTATTCCGATTGCATCGTTGCATTCTTTGTTGGAGATGATGGTGTTGTTGGTTGCGCGGAGAACGTCGGTGGTGGTCTTGGAAATTCCGTTGGTCAGGCCCCAACCACTCACTGTTGCTGTGCGACCTGTGAAGAGATAAATCAGGATAACGAGAAAATTCTCACTGGTAAAATCATGAGGGTCATTATCAGGTGATACATAGTAAATAGTTGTTGTATTCCATGACACAGCTAGTTATCGAAATGAATTCATAATATTTGAATCCTATGAAAACTCAAGGTGAACTAATGAATGACACTATAGAAAGAATATTTCGGTCGAAGTGAGACACATGAAATTTACTTATCGACAGTTTGCCGTTCATGGAACATATAGAGAGATGATTATCGCATATAATTGAGCGACGTTGCAACAATTAATCGAAATGTCGAGATACCCAATGAAGCATAGTGACTAGAGAGTGTTTTATCCTCTTTTCTAGGATGGATTACGATGAATAAGTTTCGCATTGAATTAGATCATTCATATTCAGTTAATAATATTTCAAATCCATGACGAATTTCATAAAAATGGTATTGGGAGGTATCTTTGGGGCATGGAAACTACGCGGTAAAATAGAATACGTTGAGAACGGTCAAAAATTGCTGATGAAATACGAAAAATGGATTACGAAGTCACTATCAACTACTGATAAATGCTTGACTCCAACATACTGATTTCAAGAGACCCTTCGGATACTCATTTACTGTCACATTTTGTGGAAACTCCTATCAACACTATCAGGTGTTTCTCTAATTCAAAGTATAGCGCAATCTTTCCTCAGCAGTTTGTTCATTTCTATTCACATTTTCATCCGACTTATCGAATAAGGTTTCGAATTCAATGTCAAACATATGAGTTTGTCAAATTGCATTCAGAATTCCATAATCTGAATAGGATATGGAAAACCAAGAAGCGTCACATTATGTCGTTGAATCAGCTGTCATACGATTTCAGGATATAATTTTCCTCTAGCTCACCCTCGAGATTGACTCCAACGTCACGAAGAGCTGGAAGACGAACCAATTGAATGTTTCTTGTCAAGGTCAAATTCCTTTCCAGTTGAATAACTCCTATGTCGTTGTCTATGTTCCTGCTGTCGTATTTCTCATGTATGACCCAGGACCTGCCATTCACGGTCACAGTACTTGCCTCATGTTTTGCAAGATTGTGAGCTCCAAGAGTAACGCGAACAGATTCAGCCCTGTAATATAATGAATTGTATTGAATAAAATATGAATGGATAGATAAACAATTTTTGTTATATCATTATTTGAACGCGCTAAACAGATAACCCTCCACGTATTGAATGTTAATGTTATAATTTTCATCGAATAATGCATTGATATACTCCAAGCCAATCTTTAAATTCAGTTTTGGAATAAAACTTGGTGCTATTTTGATGACTTGGTCTTACGAAGGAATCGAAACACCAATACATGATGATCCACCAATGGTGGGTACCTTATCAGTGGCATGCAGTTAGTTGCATTGAAATCAGTTCATCAACTGTTTCAGTGTATATCGAAGGTCTTCACTAAATCTAACGAATAGTCAGTGCTTTCAATAGATTTCCATCTGAGTCGGTGATGTCACTCACCTAGTAGATATATTCTCTACCTCATTTTGAATTCGTCGTTGCTGAATTCTTGTTAGTAGGCCAACTCATTTTTTTACATTGCTTGGACTAGTTCATCAGCTCGGACAATGAACAGCGAAAGAAAAATGCTGCCTGAAATGACTCTCAAACCACAAATTTCGCAGATATCTAGTTATTTGTCTAATATTAATCTTGTGAGGAATAAGTGATATAAATAACGACAGCGTACCATCGTCAATTCTAATCCCAGCAATACAACTACAGCGTACACTTATATGGCTTACTGGATACATCAGTTTGAACAATTGGCACGAAAATAATTATTTGTTTTGTTTCTCGTTGGTAACATGTATATAGGAAACAAAATTTTATTTAATGAACAAGTAACGTATAGCTTCTTGATCGAGCCAACCCAACAAGTAGCTATTTCCAATATATTTTGTTTGGTCAAGATGACCTGTACTCATTTGATACTACGGGATAGTTAAATTCATGGCCTTCCAGAGTCATCACTAATCGATTATGTAACATTTCATCCTCATAGATTGATTGATAGGATGAAAATTCATGGGCGGATAAATACATAAAGGCCTCTCAGTCAGGCCCTCCTTCCACCTATCATCACTGGAGATTATTGGTTCAGGTGTTGGAGCTAGCCTATATTGCGTGATAAAATACCACTGACATACATTCTGTCTAGACCACTAAACCTCTTCAACTTCAATTTCGGAAAAAGTAATCTTGATTTCAGAATTGGTTAGTACGATTTCAGAAATGGTAAACTCAATTTCAGAATCGGTGAGATGAATTTCAGAAAAAGTCCATTCAATTTCAGAAATGGTAAGTTGTATTTCAGAATTGGTAGGTTCAATTTCAGAAAAAAAATCCTTATATTTGTTCGAAATGTTTCAAATTGTATGTGAGATTAACAAACCATATTTACAATATTCAACTTGACAAAAACAATTCAATAACATAATTATTATAATCTCAATTTAATCCACAGATGCCTTTCATCCGAATCGCTGGAAGATAATAGCGTTGCACATGATTATGAGAATGCAAACACATTTGAGGTGCTATCATTTTCATTGAATGATCTGCACATTCCTCAAGACATCGCAGTCTGAATTCTATCTGGTTGAGCAAGCTGTTCGGATTTCCAGCTATGACCCTTTGGCGATGCTCTTGCAAGAAACTCTTCACTTCTGACTTGAAGGCACCCCATATATGTTCAATCTGATTCAACATAGGGCTCTCATGCAAACACCGTTCATCCACTGTAAACAATATTCTCTTTTGCAATTAAAAACATTTCAAACATAATATAAAAGGATTTCATCTTCTGAAATTGAACCTACCAATAATAATTCTGAAATTCAACTTACCATTTCTGAAATTGAATGGACTTTTTCTGAAATTCATCTCACCGATTCTGAAATTGAGTTTACCATATCTGAAATCGAACTAACCAATTCTGAAATTGAGATTACTTTTTCCGAAATATAACGCACCGATTCCGAAATTGAAGTTGAAAAGGTATAGCAGTCATATCTCAGTAACTTCAAAATCTTGGGTAAATTGCTCGCCTGAAAACGCTTCTGCTCAATGCGCAGAAACTACTATCATGACAGCGAGTGAGGTTTCTTGTTGTTCAGAAACATAAGAAAGAGTGAATAAGATATATGAGAGGTCCTTAACGCGCAGGATTCATCTTCACCACTTCGATCTCGTGAGTGATTTATCTTCTTCCTCATGGAATTAGCAGTCATTTTGTGAGGTTGCAGGTAGTTGACTACTCATCCTTCAAGCACCATTCACATCTGTATCAACTGTGACTTCAATAATGTTGAAGTGCTTGTTCAGATGGCCGTATCCCATGAGGCCCTTTATTTCATGCATACTGGCATTTTACCTCAAGGATCACCTTCATTGTTGAGATGTTCCATGATCTAGAAATTATCATGATTTGTTGTGGCCAAATAGTCTTCCTGTTCGTTTGCGAGCACACTGATATATCCGGAGCCTGCAGTTACCAGACACCAGCAGCGAGTTCACTCTGTACCATGTGATGGCCTTATTTCATCGCAATAAAATACACTTCATAACCAATACTAGAATGAATCACAAATTGATTCGACTGATTTTCACTATTTATGGTATGCTAAGCTTGAAGATCATCGAGATTTGTTGGAGTTTGGGAGAATTCGTGATGTCAGGTTAACAGCATAATACATGATATCATGAAGATTGCTTGAAAGGACATTGGTGACGTGGTGAATAATGCCTTGGGAAATGAGACAACCACATCAATTCTGTTGAAAATATTTTGTCATCGTTTGAATTGACGTTTCTATTATTATCACAAGAATAAGTTTGTTGCTAGGCAAAACTATTAGTTCCTAATTCGAATTCAAATTTCAGCTCCTAAGAACTGAAAAGGATGCACTAGAAGTCATCAAGGATAACCAACACTGTGTCTGTGTGGCTACCTGGGATAGGAGCAGTCAACTCGCCTTCTGAAGTACATAATCGGTGAACCTCATATGTGACTGGTCATTGCTTTCTTCAAACGAAATGTTTCGTCAAAACAAAAAAATAAATATTTATCATTCAAGTATTGTGATGCTTCATATTGTGGCTAAGCAACTCAAACTTCAGTACCTGCTATATATATGATCAGTCAGTTTTAATTCCTTTTTCTTGTGAAAACTCATGTTTCAAAATTTCTTCTTCATTTCTCTGCATTATATACTGCACTTGTGCCGTAGAGAGTATTTTTCCTACAAGCGTGCGGAAAAATGAATTTTCCGCATTATTCTTACTTTTTCGCACGATTTCGAAGGGAATACCAGAAGACATGTGGTGATAACTGTTGGCACCAGAACGTACCAATAGCAACAGTCGCTTTGAACTGACAGTAGTGGCAATCAACAAATAAGCATTTCAGACCAATCTACCTTCTTCCATTCACTACACTAGTAATTCTCAACAACAAACTGGGCCAAATACTAGCCAATCAAATTCAAATAAAAAACGACGTTCTTCAATATGTTGCAGCATCTGCTATATCACAGCATGCAACAAAAACAAATTGCACTTCCAATTCCAATATTTACCGTCGTCAATGTTTTAGTTATTGTTTTCCGTTTCCTATTATATCGCTGAAAAAAACTCCATTCCATCATTTTTCAGTGCATGAAAATATCGTGCGGATACGTTACTTTACCGCACTAGTGCTGAAAAGTTACTTTTTCGCACGATTTTCGTCTTGCTGAAAATAAGAATATTCAGGACTGAGGAAATTTCATTCATTTGAAACCTTTTTTTCTTCATAAATAATATGGAGAAGAACACTCGTAGGGAAAACTTTGTAAATAACTCTTGTGGAGAATGTCAATTTGGCCCTTGACGACTTGTCCGAATTCTGCTCAGCGTCGTTCGTGTGACTGAGTAAATATCTATCATCAGGAAACTGAAATCAGTGTCTTTATGTTTCACATAATGCGTAACTAGGAAACGCAATTAAGTTTGTCTTCGTGTTTCACTCGTCACACAAAATGACGACTATCCCATCTGGTAACGAAAATATCTGATGAAAACTGCAGCTAGGTTTTATTATCATTGTGTAGTCATTGCCCCAAAATCAACAGATGAACTGAAATTTGGTATTCAGTGTTACTCACCCATCAAGGCAATGAGCAGCAGTAAGGACGTATCTTTTGGTGATAAGAGATCCACCGCAAGACCAACTAGATCCTCCGGCACTTGCGATTAAGAAGATTTGGTAAGGAATAGAGTGGGGAACAACTTCTTGACCGTTGACGATTTCCAGCGAGGGATCAACTTCTGGTTGGTTGATGGGTTCTACATATATGTTCTTGGATGGTGGAATCTCAATATTATCCTGGAAATTAGCGTAATATGGTATGGGTTTCTTCTACAAGAGTGCGTGATTCACACTGAACCCGGACACAATTTGGTTTGGGTGGAGTCGTTTTACCACAGTAGTGCGGGATAGTATATTATGCAACATGTGGAAAAAGTGTTTTTCCTCACATGTTGCACACTATACTTCTTCACCAACTGCACTTATTCGAAGAATCCGAGTAATGTAACTTGTTGGTATTCATTTTATAATGTGGCACTATACCACATTGAATATTGTAATCGATTAGTAGACGGCCATACATCATAAATTATTTATTACGAATTGTTGGAACAATATTCGATGGAAAATGCGATTTCTATCGAAAGCACTGATGAGAACTACTCTGAAGAATTCAAAAAACTTCTTCTGACGTTTGTGACAACTATTTCAAGCTGAACAGCAGCCAAGTTTTGGTCGATTCTTGTTGATTCTCCATGGAAATGTTAATGGTGTTGGCAAAGTGCCGTGAGAAAAAATATTGTTCACAGTATGGGCCATACATGGTTTTGAAATTGAGTGAGCTATGAGAAATGCGCTTCTTTTCATAGCAGTGGTAGACAATTTTTTTTCACACTAGTGCGAGAAAAACATTTATATAATATTCCAGCAAAATATCAGTGTCGGGTGACACAATATGATAGGTGAAGGTGTTTTTGTTTCAGTATTTAGTAAGTTTGTACAAAATAACCGTTAATCTGATTGAACAATTTATTGTGAAATTGAAGAAACATAGAGCAATGATAATTAATTATTATATAAATTCACCTATAATAGTCTTCAATTAATCTGATGTGGAAAACAATAATTGTTGTCATGTCAATCAGGACACAAATTAATTAGTGTTATCCTCAGAGTGACAGACAGAGCGTTACTGTCATTTTCGATTCAGTGGAATTGCGATGAAATCATTGCCAATGGAGTTTTTAGAAAGATATGAGAAGCACTACACAGTTCTCAGTGAGAACTGAAAAGTTTCAAGACAGATACTACTTTGCTATTGAAATAACCATTTTTCATGTTGAGAACTAAGGCAGATTCGTTCCCGAAAAATCCAAAGATGAGTGAAAATTTTATATTTTTTCTAAATACCTTTATTTCTATATTGTTCAAACTTTCTCATTACAAATTGTCACTGACGAACTAGTGATTTTTTTCGTGCTCTGATAGGAAGATTCTTCAAACGCAGTGACATTTATTGGGGCAAAACATCCGATTTGTCCTTACTACACGTTTATTGAAATAATATTCATATTTTGATTTTATTGAAACGAGGAGAGAAAATCCCCAAAAAATTTAAATAAGGAAAATACGGAGGAGAATAAGATGAACTTCGAGTCTCAATTAGGACTAGTGAGCGTGAGAAGTCATTGAGTCAGATTCAGAATTTCCTTCAGATATAATCATGAATGTACGTTAGAACAGATGAATCCTTGTCTATGATATGTCATGCAAGGCTATCGTTCCTTATGGAAAATATAGACTAATAATTTCTGATGGTTGTTTTCTATTTCTTCACCTTACCTGGTTGAAATCTGCTATTTTCAAAACACTTGTCCATTGATATGATGATAAATACGTTATTCACTTCTCATTCTTATTCTCATAGCTTTCACGGTGATGAAGAATTTAATCCAAGTTTTCTATATTCGAATCAATCTAACTGAAGTAGTTACCAGGCATCACGTGTTTCCAGGGTGTCAAATTTTAGTTCGCGAGTACGAATGGAACGCTTGGGCTCAATTTATTCAAAAGCACAAAAAAAAAGGGTAGAGACGTTACGTACAAATTCAGTCAGTGAATAATACATATCAACTAAAACTCCGATGGAAATGTCACGCTGAGAAAATAAATGAAAATTTGTATGACTATATAGATGTAATGATGGTTTCGAATTAGTTTCTTCAAACACAACACATATTCGTGATATCACTTATTCGAGTGATCAATACTCAGACAAACCTATTGCATACCACCTCCGAATATTATTTGTTCAAATTATTATTCACCGCTACATCAAATAACATGTCTCATATCCAGTAATGATTAATATCTCTTATGTAGTGGTATTAGGATTGTGTTGAATGTTACTTCCCTGATAGTTTTGTTTACCACTGCGTATTAGTGCGTACGGTAATAATAATTGGTTTACCTCTTGTGATGTACAAATCTACCACATCAGAGAGTGATATGCCGAAATCACGAAGCTGATCGTCGACGTTCGTTTTTTCCATAGACCTATTAATAATAGGTCTATGGTTTTTTCAATGCAGATGGCTTGGCGTTGGCTTACTCATTCCATCAGTTCATACTTCATCTTTCGTTACGTTCGTCTCGTGAATTATGAATGAAATAAATTTCATTGGCCCATGGAGTTACCATTTGCAGTGCATGTGTATAGTGTAAGTACCTACTCAACTACAAACTGTAGTACTGTGAAGTGTGAACTGAACCTGATAGTGGTAACTCGAAGAGTTGTTACCGGTGTTCAACAGTATAAGTAAAATACCTATTGGTTTCATCTTGAAACTGAAATGGCAGGTGAACGTTGCACGCGTCATGAAGGAGAACGAGAAAATCTCAGTTTTTTTGCACACAAATATCAAATTCACACAATAATTCGATTTTTCTCCATTTTTCTGTGATATTTTCCAGTTCCTCCTTCTACTGAGTATGTCCCTGACTGCGCTAGAAAAATATTGTTCCAGAGTTTGAACAGACAAAATTGAACAGACAAAAATAAGCGAATCTAAGTATAAGTAGAAATAACTAGTTTGTAGCAGTAAATATAAATTGAATAAGTATAGTATAGATTTATTGTTTGTTATGGCATAGATCTGAATACGAGCTGTTTGGTATCATTCACTCATTTGTAGTGGTGAATAATAACCGTACAGGTACGGTCCCTAATAACTAGTGCTTCTGTATGTCATATTGCCTCAATCATACTATTTTGTATTGGTTATATTAGATGAATGTAGTGACTGGCGCCTATTCGACCACAACACTTGGTATAGTATAGTGATCTTCAGGTATTGACAACAAATAATTTTTCTCAGTGCAGATTACGTGGAAAGAGTAGAGAAGGATACTTACAATGGATGCTGCAAGGGCTACTCCGAAGAGAGCAAGAACCACTAATGCCACTTTCATGATTATAGTCAGAATACCTATGACCAAGTGTCGATGGATATATCTATACACGTTTATATATATATATATATATATATAAGGAAGGGGATTTTTTGCTGACCAGTTAGAGATAAAACTAGTAGTTTAGTGGGGATGCAGCAAAAGTAAATGTGTACTCATTTAAGGACATTTAGGGACAAACTTGAATGAGTACACATTTACTTTTGCTGCATCCCCACTAAACTACTAGTTAAATATATATATATGACTGGAGTACAAGAAACATAACATGGATAAGATCACATTCTTTAGGATCTAGATTAGGATTATTCATATAATCTGCTCTTGAATCAATGACAATAGAAATAAGCTACTGATTATTCCAAAATACTTATCATAAAAACGTTTGTTCTCAAGGTTATCGAAAATATTGCGCTCAGCTGAACTATCATCGATAATAATTTTCATTGAAGACAATATGAGTATATTCTCGTCACTTATTCATTCTAGGATTCCAATGAAAGTTTATTCAGGCATGGAGGAACTTCATATACTTTTTTTGTTCACATAAACCACTCTTTGATTCATAGCAGATGATCAAACTGTCGATTGCTTTGGGATCAATATGGTAGCAGCCTTATTGCAAGAAGTAACGTACGCAAGCATTCCTTGATTGCGACTTCTCAGTTATTTTATATTCGGCGTATGACTAGAGATTTGAGTTCACCGTACATTTACTCGATGAGCCATTGAGGTGCAAGAGTCGGGCAGCTCCAGGAGTCCCAGGTTGCACATCATATTGGCTGGAACCTGATTTTATATTGGGCCGATGTGAAAAATAATATAGGTCTAATATGAGAGTATATGGGACATACAATATTAGAATTATAATATTGGTGGAATTTTAGTTCAACCTGAGCAGATTATGGATTATCAGCTACAATATTGAAGCAATATTGGTTGAAAACTCCGTTGACAATGTGTTGAAAAACATATCTATAAATGTTATGTGATACAAATGTCGATGCAACAACATCGTATACATATTGTTCCCAACAATTATAACCAATATCGCAATTTGATTGAACATTCTCCCCATGTCGATTCTGAAGCGGTTATGCAATATTGTGTAAACAAGTGCGACGGCATATTGGTTGAATATTGTTGTAACAATATTTGAAACATCATATTCCCCTATCTTGATTGATATCATCTCAACGATATCATGCGGAAGAAATCGTATACTTCTTATTTCTTACATTTATAACCAATATCGCGATTCGAATATTCTCCTCATCTCGATTCTGGAGCGGTTGTGCAATAATGAATATTCAAGTTCGACGGCATATTGGTTGAATATTGTTTCAACAATATTTGAAACATCATATTCACCTTTCTTGATTGATATCATTCTATCTATATCATGCGTGAGATATCGTATACATATTGTCCGCAATAATTATAACCAATATCGTTATTTGAACATTCTCCCCATGTCGATTCTGAAGCCGTTATGTAATATTGTATGTTCGAGTTCGACGGCACATTGATAGAATATTGTTTCAACAATATTCGGAACATTGAGTTCACCTATATTGATTGATATCATTTCAACTATATCACGCGGAACATATCTTTTACATATTGTCTGCAACAACTATAACCAATATCGCAATTCAATCATTTTCCCATGTCGATTCCGAAGTATTTATGCAATATTGTGTAATTTGAGTTCGACGGCAAATAGGATGAATATTGTTCCAACAATATTTGGAACATCAAATTTACCATCGATTGATGACATTTCAACTATATTATGCGGAAAATATCGTATACATATTGTTTCCAACAATAATTATCAATATCGCAATCTGAACATTTTCCCCATGTCAATTCTGACGCGATTATGCAATATTGTATATTCAAGTTCGAAGGATCATTTCTGAATATTGTTTCAACAATATTCAAAACATCATATCTACCTGAATTGATTGATATCGTTTCAACTATGTCTTGCGAAAGACATGGAATGCATATTGTTTCTAAGATGAATATCAATAACGGCAATTCAATATTTTCCTTATATCGGTCTCAGAAGGGAAAAACAATATTCAATTTTCAACTTGAATTGCCAATATTGTTCACATATTGTTTCGAAAATACATATCGATATCGAAATTTCGATATTCAATCCATATCACGCACTCTCAAACCGATGTCGATAGATGGCGCGATAAATGATTGGTAACAAACTCCCATCGCCGATCAGACGAGAGAATATAAATATTGGCTCTAGACGACAAGAAAGCATTATTACCTGGAGTAGGAATCAACCGTGATCAGCGAGGCGGCTTTTTCAGGTCAAGGCCCTCCCATTGCACTTCAGCTGGGCTGACCTCTGTGATATTATTCCTAATGTGATCTCGCAAATATTTGTATGAGAATATTTCACCAATATTTTGGAGACAACATAACCACATAATGGTATTCAATAATGTACCAATATTTCCGATCAATATTGCACCAGTTTTGTCGAATGTTCACTGCTCATTCATCAGCAATATTGATATCACATTTTGTGACCAATATAGTTCCACAAATATTCCAGCAATAATGGTATGACAATATTATCGAGACAACATAGCTTCATGATCATTTTCAATGATTCACCGATAATTTCTAGCCAATATTGATATTACATTTTGTGACCTCGAGACAACATAGCCCCATGATTATTTTCAATGATTCACCGATAATTTCTCGCCAATATTGATATCACATTTTGTGACCAATATAACTCTACGAATATTTAACCAATTTTGATATGAGAAAATTTCACAATTTTGTTCGAGACGACATTGCAAAATGCTGATTTTCAATATCTTACCCACATTTGGAAACTGATATTGTACCAGTATAGCCGAATGTTAAAATTTTTCTTCTCGCCAATATATATTTCACAATATTTTGCTGATATTTTCGTAATATTGTAGCGATATTGTCCCCATATCTGTGTGCTACCTGGGGTTTCCCAATTTTAGCTCCGATATGTAAGCCATAACTGTCCTAGAGTCAGGCAACTCCAGGAGTCAGGTTATTAACGGCAAGCTTTCCCGCGTCTTCCATCGTGTGTGGCGTTAGTAGTTTGATCAATTGTTTCATGCAATACAATGTTATGTCGTCGGAATGTGAAAGTGAGCCCTTCCAAGATTCTGGGAGTGTATATGTTCCAAAAACATAACTGATGACGAAGAGGACCGAAATTCTGGCAATATATTAACGGAGTTCAAGACGCAGGAAACGTCAGCGATTCTTCCTACGTTCAAAATACTAGTTGGTCACAATATTTTTCGTTTTATATTTCATTTTCAATAAAAAAGCAAGATTATTTCACGAGTTTGACAATATTTCCAGAACCTCCTTTTTTAGCTTCTACAATGTAAATGAAAATTAAAATCTAAGATAATACAGCTTATCCATCGTAACTCTGAAGGATTCATACTATTATGCATCATTTTTTCGAAGTTTCTCGAAAAACATTCTCCATTACCCAACATTTTAAAGAATTGGAGTTGGCCGGTTCTTGCACTGAGGTCTTCTATATTTACCAGGATATACATTTTTCAGTTGCGCTTCATTGGGCGTTGTCAACTCAACTTTCTTGCACACAATTCAATAACAAAAACGTCTTCATAGAAAGAAATGACAGAAATACCAATATTGAATATCACAATCATCAGCTTCTTGCTGAGCACATGAGGACCAACTGCATTCGGAATGAGTTGACAATACGTTCGCTATCCTAGCCTTCCTATTCAGATAAATGTCTGAAATATTCTTTCTTATGTTTCCTTGAGGAAAACAATGAATACCGATGGTTTTGAAATGTCTTATTCCACTCAATTCGCTTCAGTCGGATTGGATTTCACAATAACATCAGGAATCTACGAGGAACTGATGCATTCATAGAGAATCCGGCGGATGAGAAAATCCAGGAGAGTTAGCTTCTGATGTCGTTGAGGAAATAGATATAAAAACTATTATAGCCAGGTAAGAAATCTGTTTGTTACAGATCTTTGGTTCACGGAAACATAAGTCAATATGTAACCACTGATTTTATAATTGACTGATGAATCCATAGAATCTGTTCTTGATTACAGCAAACACGACATGGCTATTCAATGGCTTATTGCTTTGATCGATGACATACTACTGGCACTATTTTCCGGTGATGAAAAAGAAAATGTAAATTGCTGTGTAACTTTTTCGTATCCATATTCTTCACAATTCAATCTCAGATTATGAAAATCCACACCATTTCACAAAAAGAGGTGCTCTTGTTCCGCATCGATCAGATGTATCATCCTCGAGTGAAATCGATTCAAAAATATTGATGCACTCACATCTCATACATATAACGTTGCCAATTCTCAAATCATAGTGGCTTTAGAGAAATCAAGTATGTCCTTTTCAATAAACAATCTCATAAAAGCTCGAGAAATAAGAAAATAATGATGAAACAACTAGTTCAATTTTTGTGCATTTTTTTCCATTTTAACTACGCCTCAATGTTAGGCATGATATGTGAGATGTAACAATGTTTTTGAATTGCTTCCACTCGATAATAATACAACTGATCGTCACGAAACAGGAGTACCTTTTCTTCTGTAAATAGGTGTGAAATTCCATGATCCGAGATTGTATTGTCAAAAAATGAGCATACAAAAAATGGTGAGCAATATTATTAAATGTACTCCCACCCTCTGCATTATACACTCCTGATTGAAATTTTGAAATAATGTCATTTTTACTGCATTTGGCATGGAAATTTTAGTTCTTGTACCAAATTCCATCTTTTCATTACATAGAGTTCCGGTAATACTCAAGAAATAACATCTTCAGGAGTTCCCTTCCAGGAGGCCATAGCTCCCTTAGGGGACATTTCTCGACATATGTTCATTTGAAGATTCATTTTTATTTTTGTTGGTGGAAGTCGCTGGTGAAGTTTGGCAGGCTAATTTCGGAAGACCCTGTATAATACCGTGAACAATTTACGAGTGAAGTAACTCCATATTATCTGTACAAATCACAGTGATAAACTGTTCACTGCAGTATAGGATTCATGAGACGAACAGCAATTGCTCTCTATGAAACGATGAACGAACTTACCAAGAATTGAACCGTAATCACTACCCCTGGGGTATATCATACTCCACCACCCAAACGAAGGGTTTGAAGATTGATATACTATACATGCTATCAGTAAAGAACTCCCTTCAGTCTGGGTCTCTATAGTCATCTGAAGAAGAAAGGTATCGATGATACATTCAAACAACACATTCTATCTCTTCAAAACTGTTTATTAGAATTTTGAAATTCAGAACATGGAATATTTATTTAATTCAAAATTATCTATTGTGCCCTCCATTCTGAGTGAGTCTGTAGCCAGTTGAGGTAAGAGGAGACTCTGGTGAAAACAGATGGAGTGGACATGCAGTATGAAGATCCGTAGGACACAATACCATGTTGAACATTACCGATGACCAGTGGGCCACCAGAATCACCACTGCAAGCAGAGCGACCACCAGCGCTTGAGAGACAAACTTCAGTAGGTTGCACTATTCCGAACGCATCGTTGCATTCTCTGTTGGAGATGATGGTGTTGTTGGCTGCGCGAAGAACGTCGGTGGTGGTCTGGAAAATTCCGTTGGTGAGGCCCCAACCACTCACTGTTGCTGTGCGACCTGTGAAGAGATAAATCAGGATAACGGGAAAATTCTCACTGGTAAAATCATGAGGGTCATTATCAGGTGATATATAGTACATAGTTGTTGTATTCCATGACACAGCTAGTTATCGAGATGATTCATAATATTTGAATCCTATGAAAACTCAAGGTGAACTAATGAATGACACTATAGAAAGAATATTTCGGTCAAACTGAGACACCCAAAATAAACTTATCGACAGTTTGTCGTTCATGGAACATATAGAGACATAAAATTGAGCGATGTTGCAACAATTAATCAAAATGTCGAGATACCCAATGAAGCATAGTGACTAGAGAGTGTGTTATCCTGTTTTCTAGGATGGATCACGATGAATAAGTTTCTCATTGAATTAGATCAGTCATATTCAGTTAAAAATATTTTAAATCCATGACGAATTATATAAAAATGGTATTGAAAGGTATCTTAGGGGCATGGAAACTACGCGGTAAAATAGAATACGTTGAGAACGGTCAAAAGTTGCTGATGAAATAGGAAAAATGAATTTCGAAGTCACTATCAACTTTTGATGAATGCTTGACTCCAACAAACTAATTTCAAGAGACCCTTCGGATACTCTTTTATCGTCACATTTTGTGGAAACTCCTATCAACAGTATCAGGTGTTTCTCTAATTCAAACTATAGCGCAATCTTTCCTCAGCAGTTTGTTGATTTCTATTCACATTTTCATCCGACTTATAATAATAATAATAATAATAATAATAATAATATTCATTCATTCATCAAATCAATTCTTATACATAAAATACAAAGCATTGAATCAAATATGAAAAATAACTGATTGATGAAAAGGCGAAGTGTCAGCCATAGCTGTTTATAAACTTGACCTCACAAAAACGAAGGACAAAAAATAAAAAGAAATACATGAGATTCATAATATTATCGCAGAGTACCTATACTTACTCAAATTAGAAATGGAAAAAAAAATGAAAATAAATCTTGAGACTTTTGTCCGGAGCGAGAATCATCAACGAATTAACACAAGCCGACTATTTTTCATCAGGGTTTTTATCTTTTATTGAAGTTACTGAGTGTATAAAGTTTGAATTCATTGGGCAACTGGTTGTAAAACTCAGCAGCATTGTATGGAAAACATCTAATGTATATTGCAGAAGAGTAGGGAGGAATGACTAGAACGTGTCTATTACGTGTGCAGAGGTCGTTCAGTACTGAAAACGTTCTCAATTTATCAAAAAGATATTTAGGAGATTCATTCACTAACACTTTATGAGTGATTGACAGTAGATGTAGATTTTTTAGATCGTTCAACTTCAGCCAACCAGAGTATCTGAATTCTGTACTAATGTGTTCAAATTTCCGAATACCGAATGAAAGTCTGATGCATGAGTTTTGTATTCTTTGAAGACGATACTGGTCAGACTTCGAGAGTGCTGGACCGTAGACGCTATCACAATGAGACAGTTTAGACGTTATCAATGCTTTGCATAAACTTACTTATCGAATTAGGTTTCGAATTCGATGTCAAACATATGAGTTTGTCAGATTGCATTCAGAATTCTACCGTCATGATAGTCTGAATAGGATATGGAAAAACCAAGAAGCGTCACAATATGTCGTTGAATCAGCTGTCATACGATTTCAGGATATAATTTTCCTCTAACTCACCCTCGAGATTGACTCCAACGTCACGAAGAGATGGAAGACGAACCAATTGAATGTTTCTTGTCAAGGTCAAATTCCTTTCCAGTTGAATAACTCCTATGTCGTTGTCTATGTTCGTGCTGTCGTATTTCTCATGTATGACCCAGGACCTGCCGTTCACGGTCACAGTACCTGCCTCATGTTTTGCAAGATTGTGAGCTCCAAGAGTAACGCGAATAGATTTAGCCCTGTAATATAATGAATTGTATTGAATAAAATATGAATGGATAGATAAACAATCTTTGTTATATCATTATTTGAACGCGCTAAACAGATAACCCTCCACGTATTGAATGTTAATGTTATGATTTCCATCGAATAATACATTGATATACTTCAAGCCAATTTTTGAATTCAATTTCGGAATGAAACTTGGTGCTATTTCGATGACTTGGTCTTACGAAGGAATCGAAACACCAATACATGATGATCCACCACTGGTAGGTACCTCATCAGTGGCATGCAGTTAGTTGCATTGAAAATAGTTCATCAACTGTTTCAGTGTATATTGAAGGTGTTTACTAAATTTTACGAATAGTCAGTGCTTTCAACAGATATACATCTAAGTCGGTGATGTCACTCACCTAGTAGATATATTCTCTACCTCATTTTGAATTCGTCGTTGCTGAATTCTTGTTAGTAGGCCATCTCATTTTTTTACATTGCTTGGACTAGTTCATCAGTTCGGATAATGAAAAGCGAAGGAAAAATGCTGCTTGAAGTAACTCTCAAACCACAAAATTCGCAGATATCTAGTTATTTCTCTAATACTAATCTAGTAGGAATAAGTGATAAGGAGGAAACTGAATAGCAACATCGACAGATTGGACATGCGCCAGTATGTGAATAACAACAGCGTACCATCGTCATTTCTAATCTCAGCAATACCACTACAGCCCACTGGATACATCAGTTCGAACAATCGGCACGCAAATAATGATTTGTTTTGTTTCTAGTTGGTAACATGTATATAGGGAATAACATTCGATTTAATGAACAAGAGACGTATAGTTTCTTGATCGAGCCAACCCAACAAGTATTTCCAACATATTTTGTTTGGTCAAGATGACGTGTACTCATTTGATACTACGGAATAGTTGAATTCATAGCCTTCCATAGTCATCACTAATCGATTATGTAACATTCCATCCTCATAGATTGATTGATAGGATGAAAATCCATGGGCGAATAAATACATTAGCATGAAGGCCTCTCAGTCAGGCCCTCCTTGCACCTATCATCACTAAAAATTATTGGTTCAGGTGTTGAAGCTAGCTCATATTTCGTTATCAAAAACCACTGACATACATTCTGTCTAGACCACTGGCAGTCATATATCAGCAACTTCAAGATCTTGGGTAAATTGCTCGCCTGAAAATGAATCTGCTCAATGCGCAGAAACTACTATTATGACAGCGAGTGAGGTTTCTTGTTGTTCAGAAACATGAGCAAGAGTGAATGAGATATATGAGAGGTCCTTAACGCGCAGGATTCATCTTCACCAGTTCGATCTCGTAAGTGACTTATCTTCTTCCTCATGGAATTAGCAGTCATTTTGTGAGGTTGCAGGTAGTCGACTTCTCATCTTTCAAGCACCATCCACATCTGTATCCTGTGACTTCAATAATGTTGAAGTGCTTGTTCAGATGGCAGTATTCCATGAGGCCCTCGATTTCATGCATACTGGCATTTTACTTCAAGGATCACCTTCATTGTTAAGATGTTCCATGATCTAGAAATAATCATGATTGGTTGTGGCCAAATAGTCTACCTGTTCGTTTGCGAGCACACTGATATATCCGGAGACCTGCAGTTACCAGACACCAGCAGCGAGGTCACTCTGTACTTTGTGATGGCCTTATTTCATCGCAATAAAATACACTTCATAACCAATACTAAAATGAATCACAAATTGATTCGACTGATTTTCACTATTTATGGTATGCTGAACTTGAAGATCAATGAGATATGTTGGAGTTTGGAAAAATTCGTGATGTTAGGTTCACAGCATAATACATGATATCGTGAAGATTGCTTGAAAGGACATTGGTGACGTGGTGAATAATGCCTTGGAAAATGAGACAACCACATCAATCCTGTTGAAAATATTTTGTCATCGCTTGAATTGACGTTTCTATTATTATCACAAGAATAGGTTTGTTGCTAGGCAACACATTTAGTTTCTGATTTGAATTCAAATTTCAGCTCCTAGAAACTGGGAAGAATGCACTAGAAGTCATCAAGGATAACCAACATTGTGTCTGTGTGGCTACCTGGGATAGGAGCAGTCAACTCGCCTTCTGAAGTACATAATCGGTCAACCTCATATGTAACTGGTCATTGCTTTCTCCAAACGAAATGTTTCGTCAAAATAAAAAAATAAATATTCACCATACAAGTATTGTAAAGCTTCATATTGTGGCAAAGCAACTCAAACTTCAGTACCTGCTATATATATAATATATAATCAGTTAGTTTTAATTGCTCTTTCTTGTGAGAACTTATGTTTCAAAAACATTTCTTTGCATTATATACTGGACTTTTGCGGTAGAGTATTCTTCCTACAAGCGTGCGGAAAAATAAATTTTCCGCATTATTTTCACTTTTTCGCACGATTTCGAAGGAAAATACCAGAAGACATGTGGTGATAACTGTTGGCACCAGAACGTATCAATAGCAACAGTCGCTATAAACTGACATTAGTGGCAATCAACAAATAAGCATTTCAGACCAATCTACCTTCTTCCATTCACTACACTAGTAATTCTCAACAACAAACTGGGCCAAATACTAGTCAATCGAATTCGAATAAAAAACGACGTTCTTCAATATGTTGCAGCATCTGCTATATCACAGCATACAACAAAAACAAATTGCACTTCCAATTCCAATATTTACCGTCGTCAATGTTTCAGTTATTGTTTTTTGTCTCCTATTATATCGCTGAAAAAAACTCCATTCCATTATTTTCAGTGCATGAAAATATCGTGCGGATAAGTTACTCTACCACACTAGTGCTGAAAAGTTAATTTTTCGCACGATTTTCATCTTGTTGAAAATAAGAATATTCAGGAAATTTCATTCATTTGAAATCTCTTCTCTTCATGAATAATATGGAGAAGAACACTCGTAGGGAAAACTTTGTAAATAACTCTTGTGGAAAATGTCAATTTGGCCCTTGACGACTTGTCCGAATTTTGCTCAGCGTCGTTCGTGTGACTGCCGTGCGGAAAAGAACTACTTTTCGCACTCTTTAAGTAAATATCTATTTTCAGGAAACTCAAATAAGTGTCGTTATGTTTCACATGATGCGTAAGTAGGAAACGCAATTTAGTTTGTCTTCGTGTTCCACTCGTCACACAAAATGACGAGTATCCCAACTGGTAACGAAAATATCTGATGAAAACTGCAACTAGGTTTCATTATCATTGTGTAGTCATTGCCCCAAAATTAACAGATGAACTGAAATTTGGTATTCAGTGTTACTTACCCATCAAGGCAATGAGCAGCAGTGAGGACGTATCTTTTGGTGATAAGAGATCCACCGCAAGACCAACTAGATCCTCCGGCACTTGCGACTAAGAAGATTTGGTAAGGGATAGAGTGAGGAACAACTTCTTGACCGTTGACGATTTCCAGCGAGGGATCAACTTCTGGTTGGTTGATGGGTTCTACATATATGTTCCTGGATGGTGGAATCTCAATATTATCCTGGAAATTAGCGTAATATGGTATGGGTTTCTTCTACAAGAGTGCGTGATTCACACTGAACCCTGACACAATTTAGTTTTCCCACAGTAGTGCGGAATAGAATATTGTGCAACATATGGAAAAAGTGTTTTTCCTCACATGTTGCACACTATACTTTCTCCACAACTGCACTCATTCAAAGAATCCGAGTGATCTAACTTATCGGTATTCATTTTATAATGTGGTACTTTGCCACATTGAATATTGTGACCAATTAGTATACGCCTATATACATCATATTATTTATTATGAATTGTTGGAACAATATTTGATGGAAAATGCGATTACTATCAGAAGCACTAATGAGAACTACCCTGAAGAATTCAAATAACTTGTTCTGACGTTTGTGACAACTATTCATAGCTGAACAGCAGCCAAGTTTTGGTTGATTCTTGTTGATGCTCCATGGAAATGCATGTGGTGTTGGCAAACTGCCGTGAGAAAAAATATTGTTCACAGTATGGGCAATACATGTTTTTGGAATCATGACAATTTTCTCTCCGTCCTAGGAAAACATTTATATAATATTCCAGCAAAATATGAGTTTCGGGTGACACAATATGATAGGTGAAGGTGTTTTTGTTTTATTATTCAGTAAGTTTGTACAAAACCGTTCATCTGATTGCACAATTGATTGTGAAATTGAAGAAGAATTGAGCAATGATGAATAATTGTTATATAAATTCCCCTATAGTCTTCAATTAATTTGATGTGGAAAACCATAATTGTTGTCATGTCAATTAGGACACAAATTAATTAGTGTTATCCTCAGAGTGACAGACAGAGCGTTACTGTCATTTTCGATTTAGTGGAATTGCGATGAAATCTTTCAGCTACAGACTTATTGCCAATGATGGAGTCTTTAGAAAGATATGAGAAGCACTACACAGTTCTCAGTGAGAACTGAAAAGTTTCAAGACTACTCTGCTATTGAGATAACCATTTTTTATGTTGGGAACTGGGGCAGATACGTTCCCGAAAAATCCAGAGATGAGTGAAAATTTTATATTTCATCTATAAATATACCTTCATTTCTATTTTCCAAACTCTTTCAATACAAATCGTCACTGACAAACTAGTGATTTTTTCAAGGCTCTGATAGAAGAATTCTTTGAACGCAGTGCTATGTTATGGGACAAATCATCTTACTTGTCCTTACAACACGAAATAATATTCATATTTTGATTTCATAGAAACGAGGAGAGAAAATCCCAAGACAATTTAAAATGAGAAAAATACGAAGGAGAATCAGAGAAACTTCAAGTCTTAATTAGCACCAGTGAGCGTGAGAAGTCATTGAGTCAGATTCAGAATTTCCTTCAGATATTATCATATATGTACGTTAGAACAGATAATCCCCTTGTCTATGATATGTCATGTAAGGCTATCGTTCCTTCTGGAAAATATAGACTGATATAATTTTGGATGGTTGTTTCCTATCTCTCCATCTTACCTGGTCGGAATCTGTTATTTTCAAAACACTTGTCCATATATATGATAATAACTATGTTTTTCACTTCTCATTCTCATTCTCATAGGTTTCACGGTGATGAAGAATCTAATCCGAGTTTTCAATATTCGAATCTATCTAACTGAAGCATCAATCAGGAATCACATATTTCCAGGGCATCAAATGTTAGTTTTGAACAACGAATGGAACGCTTGGACTCAATTCATTCAAAAGCTCCAGAAAAAAAGGGTTGAGATCTATATGAGCACCAACAAATGAGATTGAAAGGCCTGACTTCGTGAGGACTAGAAGAGGCGAAGCATCGGATTTTGCTCAATTCTTTGATAATGTCAGGATTGGACACTCAAATTCAGTCAGTGAATAATACATATCAACTAGCAACTCCGATGAAAATGTCACACTGAGAAATTGAATGGAAATTTGTATAACTAAAAGTAATGGTGATTTCGAATTGGTTTCATCGAATACAACACATATTCGTCATATCACTTATTCGAGTGATCAATACTCAGACAAACCTATTGCATACAACCTCCGAATATTAAAAGTTCAAATTATTATTCAACGCTACATCAAATAACATGTTCCTTATCCAGTAATAATGAATATCTCTTATGTAGTGGTATTAGGATTGTGTTGAATGCTACTTTCCTGATATTTGAATTTTCCACTACGTATTAGTGCGTACGGTAATAAAAATAGGTTTACTTTTTGTGATGTACAAATCTACCTCATCAGAGAGTAATATGCCAAAATCACGAAGCTGATCGTCGACGTTCGTTTTTTCAATGCAGATGGCTTGGCGTTGGCGTACTCATTTCATCAGTTCAAATGTCATCTTTTGTTACGTTTGTCTCGTGAATTATAAATGAAATAAATTCCATTGGCCCATGGAGTTTCCATTTGCAGTGCATGTGTATAGTGTAGGTACCTAATTAACTACAAACTGTGGTACTGTGAAGTGTGAACTGTACCGGATAGTGGTAACTCGAAGAGTTGTTACCGGTATCCAACAGTAAGTAAAATACCTATTGGTTCCATCTTGAAACTGAAATGGCAGGTGAACGTTGCACGCGTTATGAAGGAGAACGAGAAAATCTCAATTTTGTTGCATACAAATATCAAATTTACACAATAATTCGATTTATCTCTCATTTCCAACTTCATTCATATACTCAGATGATTATCTCCACTACCTACCAAATAATCATAATATACCTGCAAATTATTGAGTTTCTGTGATATTTTCCAGTTTTTCCTCCAAATGAGTATGTCCCTGACTGCGGTAGAAAAATATTGTTCCAGAGTATATCGAAGACTGAAACCTTTGGCACGATAATACACTACACTGTTTTACCACTAACCAAACCGATTTTTTAACGCCTCGACACGTGTTTCGCTAACTATGTTAGCATCTTCAGGAGAAGATTAAAACCCAAATCTTATTCTTCTCCTGAAGATGCTAACATAGTTAGCGAAACACGTGTCGAGGCGTTGAAAAATCGGTTTTGGTTAGTGGTGTATTGTTCCAGAGTTTGAACAGACGAAATTGAACAGACAAAAATAAACGAATCTAAGTATAAGTAGGAATAACTAGTTTGTAGCAGTGAATATGAATTGAATAAGTATAGTATAGATTTATTGTTTGTTGTGGCATAGATCTAAATACGAGCTGTTTGGTATTTTTCACTCATTTGTAGTGGTGAATAATAACCGTACAGGTAGGGTACCTAATAACTGGTGCTTCTGTATGTCATATTGCCTCAATCATACTATTTTGCATTGGTTATATTAGATGAATGTAGTGACTGGCGCCTATTAAACCACAACACTTGGTATGGTATAGTGATCCTTAGGTATTGACAACGAATAATTTTTCTCTGTGCAGATTACGTGGAAAGAGTAGAGAAGGATACTTACAATGGATGCTGCAAGGGCTACTCCGAAGAGAGCAAGAACTACTAATGCCACTTTCATGATTATAGTCAGGATACCTATGACCAAGTGTCGTTGGATTTATCCATACATGTTTATATATATATATGACTGAAGTACAAGAAACATGACATGGATAAGATTACATTCTTTAGGATCTAGATAAGGATCATTCATATAATCTGCTCTTGAATCAATGACAATAGAAATAAGCTACTGATTATTCCAAAATACTCATCAAAAAACGTTTGTCTCAAGGTTATTGGAAATATTGCACTCAGTTGAACAATCATCGATAAAAATGTTCATTGAAGACAATATGAGTATATTCTCTTGTCACTTATTCATTCTAGGATTCCAATGAAAGTTTATTCAGGCATCATGGAGGAACCTCATCTACTTTTTTTGTTCACATAAACCACTCTTTGATTCATAACAGATGATCAAACTGTCGATTGCGTTGGGATCAATAGGGTAGCAGTCTTATTGCAAGAAGAAACGTACGCAAGCATTCCTTAATTGCGACTTTTCAGTTCTTTTATATTCGGCGTATGACTAAAGATTTGAGTTCACCGTACATTTACTTGATGAACCATTGAGGTGCAAGAGTCGGGCAACTCCAAGAGTCCCAGGTAGCACATCATATTGACTGGAACCTGATTTCATATTGGGCCGATGTGAAAAATAAAATAGGTGTAAAATGAGAGTATATGAGACATACAATATTGGAATTATAATATTGGTGGAATATTGGTTCAGCCTGAGCTGAATATGGATTGTCAGCTACAATATTGAAGCAATATTGGTTGAAAACTTCGTTGACAATGTGTTGAAAAACATATCTATAAATGTTATGTGATACTGTTCTACAAATGTCGATACAACAACATGGTATACATATTAATTGTTTCCAACAATTATAACCAATATCGCAATTTGAATGTTCTCCCCATGTCGATTCTGAAGCGGTCATGCAATATTGTATAAAAAAGTGCGACGGCATATTGGTTGAATATTGTTGTAACAATATTTGAAACATCATATTTCCCTATCTGGATTGATATCATTTTTTCGTTATTATGCGAAAGATATCGAATACTTTTTGTTTCTTACATTTATAACCAAGAATATTTGAAACATCATATTCACCTTTCTTGATTGATATCATTCTATCTATATCATGCCGGAGATATCGTATACATATTGCCCCCAATAATAATAACCAATGTCGTAATTCATTCTCCCCATGTCGATTCTGAAGCGGTTATGCAATATTGTAAGTTCGAGTTCGACGGCACATTGATAGAATATTGTTTCAACAATATTTGGAACATTGAGTTCACCTATATTGATTGATATCATTTCAACTATATCACGCGGAACATATCGTATACATATTGTCTCCAACAACTATAACCAATATCGCAATTCAATCATTTCCCAATGTCGATTCTGAAGCATTTATGCAATATTGTGTGATTTGAGTTCGACGGCAAATAGGATGAATATTGTATCAACAATATTTGAAACATCAAATTTACCAACATTGATTGATAACATTTCGACTATATTATGCGAAAAATATCGTATACATATTGTTTCCAACAATTATTACCAATATCGCAATCTGAACATTCTTCCCATGTCAATTCTGAAGCGATTATGCAATATTTTATATTCGAGTTCGAAGGCTGATTCCTAAATATTGTTTCAACAATATTCAAAACATCATATCTACCTAAAATGATTGATATCGTTTCAAATATGTCTTGCGAAAGACATGGAATGCATATTGTTTCTAAGATGAATATCAATAACGGTAATTCAATATTCTCCTTATATCGGTCTCAGAAGGGGCAAACAATATTTTATTTTCAACTTCAATTGCATGTCGGTAGAATAGTTTTCCAGCCATATTCAGAAAATGTTATCATCTTTTATTGGCTGATATCTGATTAACTATATCATGTGAGCAATATTGTTCACATATTGTTTCGAAAATACATATCGATATCGAAATTTCGATATTCATTCCATATCACGCACTCTCAAACCGATGTCGATAGATGGCGCGATAAATGATTGGTAACGAATTCCCATCGCCGATCAGACGAGAGAATAAGAATATTGGCTCTGGACGATTAGAAAGCATTATTACCTAGAGAGGAATTAACCGTGATCAACAAGGCGGCTTCCCCAGGTCAAGGCCCTCCCATTGCACTTCGGCTGGGCTGACCTCTGTGATATTATTCCTATTATTCCATAATTATTTTCAATGATTCACCGATAATTTCCCGCTCATATTGATATTACATTTGTGACCAATATAACTCTACGAATATTCAACCAATACTTATATGAGAATATTTCACAATTTCAATCGAGACGACATTGCAAAATGCTGATTTCCAATATCTTACCCACATTTGGAAACTGATATTGTACCAGTATAGCCGATTGTTCAAATTTTTTTTCTCACCAATATAACTTTCACAATATTTTGCCGATATTTTCGTATAATTGTAACGATATTGTCCCCATATATGTGTGCTACTTGGGGTTACCCGATTTTGGCACCGATATTGTAAGCCATAACTGTGCTAGAGTCAGGCAACTCCAGGAGTTAGGTTATTAGCGGCAGGCTATCCCGCGTCTTCCATCGTGTGTGGCGTTATTAGTTCAATTATTTCATGCAATACAATGTTATGTCTTCGGAATGTGAAAGTGAGGCTTTTCAAGATTCTGGGAGTTTTAATGTTCCAAGAACATAACTGATGACGAAGAGGACCCAAATTCTGGCAATATTAATGAGGTTTAAGACGCAGGAAACGTCAGCAATTCTTCCTACGTTCAAAATACTAGTTGTCCACAATATTTTCCATTTTATATTTCATTTTCAATCAAAAATCAGAATTATTGCACGAGTTTGACCATATTTTCAGAAACTTCTTTTTTAGCTTCTACAATGTGAATGAAAATAAGAATCTAAGATAATACAGCTTATCCATCGTAACTCTGAAGGATTCATACTATCTTGCGAAATTTTTTCGATGTTTCTCAAAAAGAATTTTCCATTTCACAACATTTTGAAAGTTGACGGGTTCTGCACCGAGGTCTTCTATTTTTACCAGGATATACATTTCTCAGTTGCTCTTCATTTGGCGTTGTCAACTCAACTTTTTTGCACACAATTTAATAACAAATACGTCTCCATAGGAAGAAATGACAGAAATACCAATATTGAATATCACAATCATCAGCTTCTTGCTGAGCACATGAGGACCAACTGCATTCGGAATGAGTTGACAATACGTTCGCTATCCTAGCCTTCCTATTCAGATAAATGTCTAAAAGATTCTTTCTTATGTTTCCTTGAGGAAAACAATGAATACCGATGGTTTTGAAATTTCTTATTCCACTCAATTCGCTTCACTCGGATTGGATTTCACAATAACATCAGGAATCTACAGGGAACTAATGCATTCATAGAGAATCCGGAGGATGAGAAAATCCAGGAGAGTTAGCTTCTGATGTCGTTGAGGAAATAGATATAAAAACTATTATTGCCAGGCAAGAAAGCTGTTCGTTACAGATCTTTAGTTCACGGAAATATAAGTCAATATGTAACCACTGATTTTATAATTGACTGATGAATCCATAGAATCTGTTCTTGATTACAGCAAACACGACATGGCTATTCAATGGCCTATTGCTTTGATCGATGACATACTACTGGCACTATTTTCCGGTGATGAAAAAGAAAATGTAAATTGCTGTATAACTTTTTCGTATCCATATTTTTCACAATTCAATCTCAGATTATGGAAATCCACACCATTTCACAAAAAGAGGTGCTCCTGTTCCGCATCGATCAGATGTATCATCCTCGAGTGAAATCGATTCAAAAATATTGATGCACTCACATCTCATACATATAACGTTGCCAATTCTCAAATCATAGTGGCTTTAGAGAAATCAAGTATGTCCTTTTCAATAAACAATCTCATAAAAGAGAAATAAGAAAATAATGATGAAACAACTAGTTCAATTTTTGTGCATTTTTTTCCATTTTAACTACGCCTACTAGGCATGATATGTGAGATGTAACAATGTTTTTGAATTGCTTCCACTCGATAATAATACAACTGATCGTCACGGAACAGGAGTACCTTTTTTTCTGTAAATAGGTGTGAAATTCCATGATCCGAGATTGTATTGTCAAAAAATGAGCATACAAAAAATGTTGAGCAATATCATTTAATGTATTCCCACTCTCTGAATTATACACTCCTGATTGAAATTTTGAAATAATGTAATTTTCACTGCATTTGGCATGGAAATTTCAGTTCTTGTATCAAATTCCATCTTTTCATTACATGGAGTTCTGGTAATACTCAAGAAATAACATCTTCAGGAGTTTCCTTCCAGGAGGCCATAGCTCCCTTAGGGGACATTTCTCGACATATGTTCATTTGAAGTTTCATTTTTATTTTTGTTAGTGGAAGTCGCTGGTGAAGTTTGGCAGGCTAATTTCGGAAGACCCTGTATGATACCGTGAACAATTCACGAGTGAAGTAACTCCATACTATCTGTACAAATCACAGTGATAAACTGCTCATTGCAGTATAGGATATCATGAGACGAACAGCAATTGCTCTCTATGAAACGATGAACGAACTTACCAAGAATTGAACCGTAATCACTACCCCTGGGGTATATCATTCTCCATCACCCAAACGAAGGGTTTGAAGATTGATATACTATACATGCTATCAGTAAAAAACTCCCTTCAGTCTGGGTCTATATAGTCAGCTGAAGAAGAAAGGTATCGATGATACATTCAAACAACACATTCTATCTCTCCAAAACTATTTATTAAAATTCATTAGAACATAGAATATTCATTTAATTCATCCTTATCTCTTCGGGCCTCCATTCTGAGTGAGTAATTAGCCAGTTGAGGTAAGAGGAGACTCTGGTGAAAACAGATGGAGTGGACATGCAGTATGAAGATCCGTAGGACACAATACCATGTTGAACATTACCGATGACCAGTGGGCCACCAGAATCACCACTGCAAGCAGAGCGACCACCAGCGCTTGAGAGACAAACTTCAGTAGGTTGCACTATTCCGAACGCATCGTTGCATTCTCTGTTGGAGATGATGGTGTTGTTGGCTTTGCGCAGAACGTCGGTGGTGGTCTGGAAAATTCCGTTGGTCAAGCCCCAACCACTCACTGTTGCTGTGCGACCTGTGAAGAGATAAATCAGGATATCAAGAAAATTCTCACTAGTAAAATCATGAGGGTCATTATCAGGTGATATTTAGTACATAGTTGTTGTATTTCATGACACAGCAAGTTATCGAAATGAATTCATAATATTTGAATCCTATGAAAACTCAAGGTGAACTAATGAATGACTCTATAGAAAGAATATTTCGGTCAAACTGAGACACCCAAAATATACTTATCGACAGTTTGTCGTTCATGGAACATATGAAGAGATGATAATCGCATATAATTGAGTGACGGTGCAACAATTAATCAAAATGTCGAGATACCCAACGAAGCATAGTGACTAGAGAGTGTTTAATCTCGTTTTCTAGGATGGATCACGATGAATATAAGTTTCGCATTGAATTAGATCATTCATATTCAGTTAATAATATTCCAAATCCATGACGAATTATATAAAAATGGCATTGAAAGGTATCTTTGAGGCATGGAAACTACGCGGTAAAATAGAATACGTTGAGAACGGTCAAAAGTTGCTGATGCAATAGGAAAAATGAATTTCGAAGTCACTATCAACTACTGATAAATGCTTGACTCCAACAAACTAATTTCAAGAGACCCTTCGGATACTCATTTATTGTCACATTTTGTGGAAACTCCTATCAAAAGTAATAATAAATAATAAATCTCAAGACTTTTGTGGTATATTTATATTCGAACATGTCAAAGCTGAATTTCGGAGCAAGAATCATCAACGAATTAACACAAACTGACTATTTTTCATCAGGAGTTTTAATCTTTTATTGAAGTTACTGAGTGTATGAAGTCTGAATTCATTGGGCAACTGGTTGTAAAACTTAGCAGCATTGTATGAAAAACATCTAATGTATATTGCAGAAGAGTGGGGAGGAATGACAAGAACGTGTCTATTACGTGTGCAGAGGTCGTTCAATACTGAAAACGTTCTCAATTTATCAAAAAGATATATAGGAGATTCATTCACTAACACTTTATGAGTGATTGACAGTAGATGTTGATTTTGTAGATCGTTCAACCTCAGCCAACCAGAGTTACTGAATTCTGTACCAATGTGTTCAAATTTCCGAATACCGAATGAAAGTCTGATGCATGAGTTTTGTATTCTTTGAAGACGATACTGGTCAGACTTCAAGAGTGCTGGACCGTAGACGCTATCACAATAAGACAGTTTAGACTTTATCAATGCTTCGCATAAACATACTTATCGAATTAGGTTTCGAAATCAATGTCAAACATATGAGTTTGTCAGATTGCATTCAAAATTCTACCGTCTTGATAGTCTGAATAGGATATGGAAAAACCAAGAAGCGTCACAATATGTCGTTAAATCAGCTGTCATACGATTGCAGGATATAATTTTCTTCTAGCTCACCCTCGAGATTGACTCCAACGTCACGAAGAGCTGGAAGACGAACCAATTGAATGTTTCTTGTCAAGGTCAAATTCCTTTCCAGTTGAATAACTCCTATGTCGTTGTCTATGTTCGTGCTGTCGTATTTCTCATGTATGACCCAGGACCTGCCATTCACGGTCACAGTACCTGCCTCATGTTTTGCAAGATTGTGAGCTCCAAGAGTAACGCGAATAGATTTAGCCCTGTAATATAATGAATTGGATTGAATAAAATATGAATGGATGGATGAACAATCTTTGTTATATCATTATTTGAACGCGCTAAACAGATAACCCTCCACGTATTGAATGTTAATGTTATGATTTTCATCGAATAATACATTGATATACTTCAAGCCAATTTTTAAATTCAATTTCGGAATGAAACTTGGTGCTATTTTGATGACTTGGTCTTACGAAGGAATCGAAACACCAATACATGATGATCCACCACTGGTAGGTACCTCATCAGTGGCATGCAGTTAGTTGCATTGAAAATAGTTCATCAACTGTTTCAGTGTATATTGAAGGTGTTTACTAAATTTTACGAATAGTCAGTGCTTTCAACATATATATATATATATATATTTGTATATATATATCTAAGTCGGTGATGTCACTCACCTAGTAGATATATTCTCTACCTCATTTTGAATTCGTCGTTGCTGAATTCTTGTTAGTAGGCCATCTCATTTTTTTACATTGCTTGGACTAGTTCATCAGTTCGGATAATGAAAAGCGAAGGAAAAATGCTGCTTGAAGTAACTCTCAAACCACGAAATTCGTAGATATCTAGTTATTCCTCTAATACTAATCTGGTAGGAATAAGTGATAAGGAGGAAACTGAATAGCAACATCGACAGATTGGACATGCGCCAGTATGTGAATAACAACAGCGTACCATCGTCATTTCTAATCTCAGCAATACAACTACAGCGTACACTTATATGGCCCACTGGATACATCAGTTCGAACAATCGGCACGCAAATAATGATTCGTTTTGTTTCTAGTTGGTAACATGTATATAGGGAATATCATTTCATTTAATGAACAAGAGACGTATAGTTTCTTGATCGAGCCAACCCAACAAGTATTTCCAACATTTTTTGTTTGGTCAAGATGACGTGTACTCATTTGATACTACGTAATAGTTGAATTCATAGCCTTCCAGAGTCATCACTAATCGATTATGTAACATTTCATCCTCATAGATTGATTGATAGGATGAAAATTCATGGGCGAATAAATACATTAGCATGAAGGCCTCTCAGTCAGGCCCTTCTTGCACCTATCATAACTAGAATTTATTGGTTCAGGTGTTGAAGCTAGCTCATATTTCGTGATCAAAAACCACTGACATAAATTCTGTCTAGACCACTGGCAGTCATTTCTCAGCAACTTCAAGATCTTGGGTAAATTGCTCGCCTGAAAATGAATCTGCTCAATGCGCAGAAACTACGAGTGAGGTTTCTTGTTGTTCAGAAACATAAGCAAGAGTGAATGAGATATATGAGAGGTCCTTAACGCGCAGGATTCATCTTCACCATTTCGATCTCGTGAGTGACTTATCTTTTTCCTCATGGAATTAGCAGTCATTTTGTGAGGTTGCAGGTAGTTGACTTCTCATCTTTCAAGCACCATCCACATCTGTATCCTGTGACTTCAATAATGTTGAAGTGCTTGTTCAGATGGCAGTATTCCATGAGGCCCTCGATTTCATGCATACTTGCATTTCACTTCAAGGATCACCTTCATTGTTAAGATGTTTCATGATCTAGAAATAATCATGATTGGTTGTGGCCAAATAGTCTACCTGTTCGTTTGCGAGCACACTGATATATCCGGAGACCTGCAGTTACCAGACACCAGCAGCGAGTTCACTCTGTACTATGTGATGGCCTTATTTCATCGCAATAAAATACACTTCATAACCAATACTAGAATGAATCACGAATTGATTCGACTGATTTTCACTATTTATGGTATGCTGAACTTGAAGATCAATGAGATATGTTGGAGTTCGGAAAAATTCGTGATGTCAGGTTCACAGCATAATACATGATATCGTGAAGATTGCCTGAAAGGACATTGGTGACGTGGTGAATAATGCCTTGGAAAATTAGACAACCACATCAATCTTGTTAGAAATATTTCGTCATCATTTGAATTGACGTTTCTATTATTAACACAAGAATAGGTTTGTTGCTAAGCAACACATTTAGTTCCTAATTTGAATTCAAATATCAGCTCTCAGGAACTGGGAAGAATGCACTAGAAGTCATCAAGGATAACCAACATTGTGTCTGTGTGGCTACCTGGGATAGGAGCAGTCAACTCGCCTTCTGAAGTACATTATCGGTCAACCTCATATGTAACTAGTCATTGCTTTCTTCAAACGAAATGTTTCGTCAAAATAAAAAATTAAATATTCACCATTCAGGTATTGTGAAGCTTCATATTGTGACAAAGCAACTCAAACTTTAGTACCTGCTATATATATATAATCAGTTAGTTTTAATACCTCTTTCTTGTGAGAACTTATGTTTCAAAATCATTTCTTTGCATTATATACTGGACTTGTGCGGTAGAGTATTTTTTCTAGAAGCGTGCGGAAAAATAAATGTTCCGCATTATTTTCACTTTTTCGCACGATTTCGAAGGAAATACCAGAAGACATGTGGTGACAACTGTTGGCACCAGAACGTACCAATAGCAACAGTCGCTATAAACTGACAGTAGTGGCAATCAACAAATAAGCATTTCAGACCAATCTACCTCCTTCCATTCACTACACTAGTAATTCTCAACAACAAACTGAGCCACATACTAGCCAATCAAATTCGAATAAAAAAAGACGTTCTTCAATATGTTGCAGCATCTGCTATATCACAGCATGCAACAAAAACAAATCGCACTTCCAATTCCAATATTTACCGTCGTCGATGTTTCAGTTATTGTTTTTTGTTTCCTATTATATCACTGCAAAAAAAATAACTATCATCAGGAAACTCAAATAAGTGTCGTTATGTTTCACATAATACGATACTAGGAAACGCAATTTAGTTTGTCTTCGTGATCCACTCGTCACACAAAATGACGAGTATCCCAACTAGTAACGAAAATATCTGATGAAAACTGCAACTAGATGTCATTATCATTGTCTAGTCATTGCCCCAAAACTGACAGATGAACTGAAATTTGGTATTCAGTGTTACTTACCCATCAAGGCAATGAGCAGCAGTGAGGACGTATCTTTTGGTGATAAGAGATCCACCGCAAGACCAACTAGATCCTCCGGCACTTGCGACTAAGAAGATTTGGTAAGGGATAGAGTGAGGAACAACTTCTTGACCGTTGACGATTTCCAGCGAGGGATCAACTTCTGGTTTGTTGATGGGTTCTACATAGATGTTCTTGGATGGTGGAATCTCAATATTATCCTGGAAATTAGCGTAATATGGTATGGGTTTCTTCTACAAGAGTGCGTGATTCACACTGAACCCTCACACAATTCAGATTGAGTGGAGTCGTTTTCCCACAGTAGTGCGGAATAGTATATTGTGCAACATGTGGGAAAAGTGTCCTTCTCCACATGTTGCACACTATACTTTTTCTACAACTGCACTTATTCAAAGAATCCGAGTAATGTAACTTATTGGTATTCATTTTATAATGTGGATCTTTGCCACATTGAATATTGTGAGCAATTAGTAGACGCCTATATATCATATCATTTATTATGAATTGTTAAAACAATATTCGAAGGAAAATGCGATTTCTATCAAAAGCACTAATGAGAACTACCCTGAAGAATTCGAAATACTTCTTCTGACGTTTGTGACACCTATTCAAAGCTGAACAGCAGCCAAGTTTTGATCTTGTTGATTCTCCATGTGGTGTTGGCAAAGTGCAGTGAGAAAAAATATTTATCACAGAATGGGCAATACATGGTTTTGAAATTAAGTGAGCTATGAGAAATGCGCTACTTTTCATAGCAGTAGTAGACATTTTTTTCTCCACACTAGTGCGAGAAAAACATTCATACAATATTCAAGCAAAATATGAGTGTCGGGTGACACAATATGATAGGTGGAGGTGTTTTTGTTTCAGTATTTAGTATAAGTTCGTACAAAATCGTTCATCTGATTGCACAATTAATTGTGAAATTGAAGAAAAATAGAGCGATGATAAATAATTATCATATAAATTCACCTATAGTCTTCAATTAATCTGATGTGGAAAACAATAATTGTTGTCATGTCAATCAGGACACAAATTAATTAGTGTTATCCTCAGCGTGACAGACAGAGCGTTACTGTCATTTCCGATTCAGTGGAATTGCGATGGAATCTTTCAGCTACAAATGCGATACAGATAAGTTATTGTCAATGGAGTATTTAGAATGATATAAAAAGCACTACACAGTTCTCAGTGAGAACTGAAAAATTTCAAGACAGATACTACTTTGCTATTGAAATAACCATTTTTTATGTTGAAAACTAGAGCAGATTTGGTCCCCAAAAATCCAAAGATTAGTGAAAATTTTATATATTTTCTATAAACCTTGATTTCTATTTTTCAAACTCTCTCAATACAAATTGTCACTGTCAAACTAGTTATTTTCTTTTAGGCTCTGATAGAAAAATTATTTGAACGCAGTGAAATTTTATGGGGCAAATCATCTGATTTTTCCTTACTCCACGTATATTGAAATGATATTCATATTCTGATTTTATAGAAACGAGGAGAGAAAATCCCAAAAAAATTAAATAAGGAAAATACGAAGAAGAATTAGAGAAACTTCAAGTCTTAATTAGGACCAGTGAGGTGGGAAGTCATTGAGTCAGATTCAGAATTTTCTTCAGATATTATCATATATGTACGTTAGAACAGATAATCCCATTGTCTATCATATGTCATGAAAGGCTTTCGTTCTTTTTGGAAAATATAGACTAATATAATTTCGGATGGTTGTTTCCTATTTCTCCACCTAACCTGGTTGAAATCTGTTATTTTCAAAACACTTTTCCATATATATAATGATAACTACGTTTTTCACTTCTCATTCTCATTCTCATAGGTTTCACGGTGATGAAGAAACTAATCCGAGTTTTCAATATTCGAATCTATCTAACTGAATCAGGAATCACGTGTTTCCAGGGTATCAAATGTTAGTTTTGTACAACGAATGGAACGCTTGGACTCAATTCATTCAAATCTCCAGAAAAAAAAAAGGTTGAGATCTATATGAGCACCGACAAATGAGATTGAAAGGCCTGACTTTGTGAGGACTAGAAGAGGCGAAGTATCGGATTTTGCTCAATTCTTCGATAATGTCAGGATAAGACACTCAAATTCAGTCAATGAATGATACATATCAACTAGCAACTCTGATGGAAATGTCACACTGAGAAAATATATGAAAATTTGTATAACTAAATGTAATGGTGGTTTCGAATTAGTTTCATCAAACACAACACATATTCGTGATATCACTTATTCGAGTGATCAATACTCAGACAAACCTTTTGCATACCACCTCCAAATATTAATAGTTCGAATTATTATTCACCGCCACATCAAATAACATGTTCCATATCCAGTAATAATAAATATCTCTCATGTAGTGGTATTAGGATTGTGTTGAATGCTACTTCCCTGATATTTGAATTTTCCACTACGTATTAGTGCGTACGGTAATGAAAATAGGTTTTCTTTTTGAGATGTACAAATCTACCACATCAGAGAATAATATGCCGAAATCACGAAGCTGATCGTCGACGTTCGTTTTTTCAATGCAGATGGCTTGGCGTTGGCGTACTCATTTCATCAGTTCATAGTTCATCTTTCGTTACGTTCGTCTCGTGAATTATAAATGAAATAAATTTCATTGACCCATGGAGTTTTAATTGCAGTGCATGTGTATAGTGTAAGTACCTACTTAACTACAAACTGGTACTGTGAAGTGTGAACTGTACCTGATAGTGGTAACTCGAAGAGTTGTTACCGGTGTTCAACAGTAAGTAAAATACCTATTGGTTCCATCTCGAAACTGAAATGGCAGGTGAACGTTGCACGCGTTATGAAGGAGAACGAGAAAATCTCAATTTTGTTGCATACAAATATCAAATTTACACAATAATTCGATTTTTTTCTCATTTCCAACTTCATTCATATACTCAGATGATTATCTCTACTACCTACCAAATTATCATAATATACCTGCAAATTATTAAGTTTCTGTGATATTTTCTAGTTTTTCCTCCAGATGAGTATGTCCCTGATTGCGGTAGAAAAATATTGTTCCAGAGTATATCGAAGACTGGAACCTTTGGCACGATAATACACTACACTGTTTTACCACTAACCAAACCGATTTTTTAACGCCTCGACACGTGTTTCGCTAACTATGTTGGCATCTTCAGGAGAAGATTAAAACCCAAATCTTAATCTTCTCCTGAAGATGCTAACATAGTTAGCGAAACACGTGTCGCAAAAATGAGTTGGAAGTTGGAATAACTAGTTTGTAGCAGTGAATATGAATTGAATAAGTATAGTATAGATTCATTGTTTGTTGTGGCATAGATCTGAATACGAGCTGTATGGTATTATTCACTCATTTGTAGTGGTGAATAATAACCGTACAGGTAGGGTCCCTAATAACTGGTGCTTCTGTATGTCATATTGCCTCAATCATACTATTTTGCATTGGTTATATTAGATGAATGTAGTGACAGGCGCCTATTCAACCACAACACTTGGTATGGTATAGTGATCTTTAGGTATAGACAAAGAATAATTTTTCTCATTGCAGATTACGTGGAAAGAGTAGAAAAGGATACTTACAATGGATGCTGCAAGTGCTACTCCGAAGAGAGCAAGAACTACTAGTGCCACTTTCATGATTATAGTCAGAATACCTATGACCAAGTGTCGATGGATATATCCATACATGTTTATATATATATGACTGAAGTACCAGAAACATGACATGGATAAGATTACATTCTTAAGGATCTAGATTAGGATCATTCATATAATCTGCTCTTGAATCAATGACAATAGAAATAAGCTACTGATTATTCCAAAATACTTATCAAAAAACTTTTGTTCTCAAGGTTATTGAAAATAATGCGCTCAGCTGAATGAAGACAATATGAGTATATTCTCTTGTCACTTATTCATTCTAGGTGTCCAAGGAGAGTTTATACAAGCATGGAGGAACTTCATATATTTTTTTGTTCACATAAACCATTCTTTGATTCATAACAGATGATCGAAATTTCGATTGCTTGGGGATTAATAGGATGGCAGCCTTTTTGCATGAAGTAACGTACGCAAGAATTACTCAATTGCGACTTCTCAATTCTTTTATATTCGGCGTATCTCTGGAGATTTGAGTTCACCGTACATCCACTTCCTTCACAAGGGTCAAGGAAAAATTTTTTATGAAATAACCAGTCTCAGATTCATGACACCATATATCGAACATATTGAATTCTGATCTCTCTGAAGAGGTGTGTGATTCACTGATTCTCAGCCTACACAGCTGAACCCTAAATGTTCTTTGAAGCATCACAGTGCTGTGAGCGGTGACGATATAATGCGTGGATTGATAACCGCATTTTCGTAACACCATAGAAAGTCTAATAATTTTGATCAGGACATACATTTTTCAGTGGCTCTTCATTTGGCGTTGTCAACTCGACTTCCTAGCACACAGTTCAATAACAAATATGGCAGGAATACTAATATTGAACATTACAATTATCAGCTTCTTGCTGAGCACATAAGGACCAACTGCATTTGGAATGACTCAACAATACTTTCGCCATCCTAGCCTTCCTTTCAGATAAATGTCTTAAAGATTCTCTCTTATGTTTCTTTGAGGAAAACAATGAATACCGATGGTTTAAAAATGTCTTATTCCACTTTTTGAGTGTTCTCTAATTCGCTCCACACGGATTTGATTTCACAATGACATCAGGAATCAACAAGGAACTAATGCATTCATAGAGGATTCGACAGGATGAGAAAATCCAGGAGAGTTTGCTTCTGATGTCGTTGAGGGAATAGATATCAGAACCATTATAGCCCGGCAAGAAAGCTGTTTGTTACAGATCTTTGGTTAACTGGAAAATGAGTCATGATAATATATGTTTGAAAATAGAAAAATTTCTAATATAAAAGTAAGATGAAAAAAATAACAAATGACAAAGTATATGAGTAGTATAAGTAGTAATTTCGATCATTGTGATCTTACTGTATTAAATGAACAACCAAACCCATGAAACCTCAGCAGGTTGTCATGGGATGTATAAAAATAAAGTGATTTCCAACTACTTCCAGTCTTGTATTTTCGAGATAATTTTTAGTCCCTTCAGGTACTCTTCTTAGTTT